GATGACCTGCCTTTCCACTGAGAGGTCAGTTTAGTAGGCTCTAGAAATTGGGACCACTAATTCCTTTTTCATCCAACTCTGAGGCCTGTTTTCATTGTTGAGGTGGGTATGGTGCACACATTCTTAATGTAATTGGCCTAATCCATTAAATTAATACAATAACAAGAGAGATCCTTTGGACAGATAAATCAGATTTTGTTGTTATCTGTTAGAAACTAGTCACAGACTTCTCATTATCCTTAAAATATAATGTAAATATCCTTAAGCGGGCCTACAAGACCAGGTCTACTCTTTAATTTTCGTTTTTATACTTTTCTTTGTTTTGCTCATAATCCTGTATCCACAATGAGCTCCTCTCATATGTTTTTTTTTTTTTAAAGATTTATTTATTTATTTGAAAGTCAGAGTTACACAGAGAGAGGAGAGGCAGAGAAAGAAATGTCTCCCATCCACTAGTTCACTCCCTAGATGGCCGCAACAGCTGGAACTGCGCTGAGCTGAAGCCAGAAGCCAGGAGCCAGGAGCTTCTTCCAGGTCTCCCATATGGGTGTAGGGGCCCAAGCTGGATTGCAAGTGGAGCAGCGGGACTTGAACTGGCGCCCATATGGGATGCCGGCGCTTTAGGCCAGGGCGTTAACCTGTTAAGCCACAGTGCTGGCTCCTCCTCTCATATTTTTTTTTTTTTAAAGATTTATTTATTTGAAAGTCAGAGTTACACAGAGAGAGGAGAGGCAGAGAGAGAGAGGTCTTCCATCTGATGATTCATTCCCCAATTGGCTGCAATGGCTAGAGCTGTGCCGATCTGAAGCCAGGAGCCAGGAGCTTCTTCCAGGTCTTCCATCTGGGTGCAGGGGCCCAAGGACTTGGGCCATCTTCCACTGCTTTCCCAGGCAATAGCAGAGAGCTGGATTGGAAGTGGAGCAGCCGGGTCTTGAACCAGCACCCATATGGGATGCAGGTTCGTCAGGCCAGGGCGTTAACCCTCTGTGTGGCACAGCGCCAGCCCCTCTCTCATGTTTTTTAAAAATTATTTATTTTGGGGCCAATGCTGTGGCATAGTGGACTGGGTCTTTACCTGTAGTGCCAGCATTGCCTGTGGGCGCCAGTTCTAGTCCCAGCTGCTCCACTTCCAATCCAGCTCTCTGCTAATGGCCTGGGAAAGCAATGGAGGATGCTCAGTTGCTTGGGCCCTTGCACTTGTGTGGGAGAGCATGAGGAAGCTCCTGGCTCCTGGCTTCGGATCGGCCCAGCTCCGGCTATTGTGGCAATGGAATACCTTTCTTTCTCTGCCTGTAGCTCTACCTCTCAAATAAATCAATAAAATCTTTAAAAAAAATTATTTCTTTGAAAGGCAGAGTGATGGTGAAAGAGGCAGAGACAGAGAAATCCTCCATTCACTGGTTTACTCCCCAAATGGACCAGGCCAAAGCCAGGAGCCTGGAACTCCATCTGGGTCTCCCATGTGGCACTTGGGCCATTTCACTACTTTTTGAGGCACGTTAGCAGAGGGCTGGATTGGATGTAGAACGCTGTGACTCGAACTGGTGCCTAAAAGGATGCTGGCATTCCAGATGGTAGCTTAACCTGCTGTACCACAGCACCACAACGCTGGCCCCAGTTTTACCTAGGTTTTTAAGTTGTAGCGTTTCTTCACAATCCCCCAGCCCCTGCTAGTCTATGTTTGCTCACTTAGTTCTCAGAACCCAGCACAGCACCTTATCTTTGGTATGCTAGTATGTACATGGTTTAAAAAAAAAAAAAAACGAATAAATGAACTAAAATTTAAATAAGACTGAAAGGATGACTTGGACTTAGCAAGGCAAAAGGTATATATGGGAGGGGAGCATTGGGAATAGGTTTTAGGGAAGAGCTTTTGGAAGCTTCCAAAGAGGGAAGGGCCATCTGGAATGAGTATCAAAATATTGGACTAGAAGTTTGCTTTATGGGGCCAGCGCCGTGGCGCAGTAGGTTAATCTCCACCTGCGGCGCCGGCATCCCATATGGGCACTGGTTCTGGTCCCGGCTGCTCCTCTTCCAATCCAGCTCTCTGCTGTGGCCTGGGAAAGCAGGAGAAGATGGCCCAAGTGCTTGGGCCCCTGCACTCACATGGGAGACCAGGAAGAAGCTCCTGGCTCCTGCCTTCAGATTGGCGCAGCTCCAGCCATTATGGCCATTTGGGGAGTGAGCCAACGGAAGGAAGACCTTTCTCTCTGTCTCTCCCTTGCACTGTCTGTAACTCTACCTCTCAAATAAATAAATCAAATCTTTTTTTTTTTTAAAGAAGTTTGCTTTGCTCTTCTTTGTGAAATATAGGAAAATAGAAAAATAGCTGTTTTTGATAAAGGAATTATGTTTTTTCTGATATACTGCTCTACTTAGTTAGCTAGTTCATTAGAGGTGTAGAAAAATGAGCTAGATAAAAATCTCAGTGGAATTAGTGTTGGGGTGATCCTGTTATATGCAGGTGTTGGGTAAGGTGACTCACTCCCAGCCTGTGATGTTCTGGTTCCAAGAAGTTATGGAGAGTGTACAGTGGAAATGAGAGCGTGGGCTGCTCATATGATCTATTACTTTTGTTGAATAAATGAAAGCAGATCACTAGATTATATTTTGACTTTCAAAAATTTTTCTATGACTTCTTATTAGTTGAGTTGTTAGCAGATTAAGGTTTACAACTGATAAGTTATCACTGACTGCCTAATCACAATTTTATAAGCAGTAATTTTGATTTATTTGAAAGGCAGAGAGAGAGAGAGAGAGCTCTTCCATCCACTGGATCATTCCATCCAGGTCTCCATGTGGGTGGCAAGTTCAAAAGCATGTGAGCAGGGCCAATGCTGTGGCTTAGCGGGTAAAGCTGCACCTGCAGTGCTGGCATCCCATATGGGCACTGGTTTGAGTCCAGGTGCTCTGCTTCCTGTCCAGCTCCCTGCTAATGTGCCTGGGAAAGCAGTGGAGGATAGCCCAAGTGCTTGGGACCCTGTACCCACATGGGACCCTCAGAAGAAGCTCCTGGCTCCTGGCTTTAACCTGGTCCAGCCCTGGTTGTTGTGGCCATTTGGGGAGTGAACCAACAGATGGAAGATCTCTCCTCTCTCTGTTCCTTTTTTGCTATAACTCTGACTTTTAAATATATAAATAAATCTTAAGGAGAAAAAAAAGCATTTGAGCCATCATCTGTTACTTCCCAGTGTGTGCATTAGCAGGAAATTGGATATAAAGCAGAGGAAATGCTAGGTCTCAAACCAGGACACTGACAGGAATGTAGGAGCCCTAAGCTGTTGTACCATGCTGCCTGCCCATTAATGCATCCTTTTATAGTTATAAAATGCCAATGTTTGTCTTTAGTAATACTTCTATGTTAAAGCCTGTTTTGTTTGGCATTAGCATACTCCATTAACTTCCCTTGTAGTTATTAATTGCAATATATGTTACATATATATATATATTTACTTTTATCCTACTTGCAACATTAAATCTAAAATGCAGGGGTGAGTGTTACGGCACAGCAACTTCAGCCACCTGCGTATCATGTCAGAGATCAGATTCTGCTTATGTGCCTGGGAAGCAACAGATGATGTCTCAAGCAAATACTTGGTTTGCCACCGCCCACATGGAAGACCCAGATGGAGTTCCTGGCTCCTGGCTTTAGCTTGATCCAGCCTTGGTGGTTGTAGGTGTTTGGGGAGTGAACCAGCAGATGGAAGATTTCTCTGTCTCTCTCTCTCTTTGTCTCATTTTGTGTTTAAGAGAAAGGGGGAGGAAGAAAGTGGTGGAGGAGAGAGAGAGAGAGAGAGAGAGAGAGAGAGAGAAACAATCTAAAGTGTGTCCCTGATAGATAATTCAAAGTTAGAGCTCTCTCTTATTTTTATACCATTGGTATATTTTCAACCTTTGCCTATAAAATGCAGATATTAATAATTTCATAGGACCATTATAAGGATTAAATTGGGCAGTGGCAACTTGTTAAGACACTAATTGCTAGACCCCAACTCCAGCATTTCAGATTGAGTAGATCTCAGGAGGGTTTGACAATCTATTTTTTTTTTGGCAGGCAGAGTGGACAGTGAGAGAGAGAGACAGAGAGAAAGGTCTTCCTTTATGGTTGGTTCACCCTCCAATGGCCTCTGTGACCGGTGCACCGCGCTGATCCGAAGCCAGGAGCCAGGTGCTTCTCCTGGTCTCCCATGGGGTGCAGGGCCCAAGCACTTGGGCCATCCTCCACTGCACTCCCAGGCCACAGCAGAGAGCTGGCCTGGAAGAGGGGCAACCTGGTAGAATCCGGCGCCCCGACCGGGACTAGAAACTGGGGTGCTGGCACCGCAGGTGGAGGATTAGCCTATTGAGCCGTGGTGCTGGCCAACAATCTATATTTCTAACAAAATCTGCAGCTGAATTGGTAGCCACACTTTGAGAATCACTGAAATAAGATAATCATTTAGATTTTATTTATTTATTTGACAGGTAGAGTTTCAGGCAATAAGAGAGAGAGAGACAGAGAGAAAGGTCTTCCTTCCATTGGTTCACTCCCCAAACAGCCGCAATGGCTGGAACTGTGCTGATCTGAAGCCAGGAGCCAGGAGCTTCCTCCAGGTCTCCCATGCGGGTGCAGGGCCCAAGTACCTGGGCCATCCTCCACTGCTATCCCAGGCCATAGCAGAGAGCTGGACTAGAAGAGGAGCAACCGGAACTAGAAGCCGGTGCCCATATGGGATGCTGGCACCGCAGGTGGAGGATTAACCTACTGTACCATGGCACCAGCCCCAAGATAATCATTTAAAAGACCTGAAGCACATCCCAGCATATATTTGTTACTTCTTTTCTATTACTTCTACTCTATTACTATTCTATTCCTCAAATTTATTAATTTTTAAAAAGATTTATGTATTTGAAAGGCAGAGTTAGAGAAGGATATATACATAGAGAGAGAGGGTGGGGGGAGGGAGAGAAAGAGAGAGAGAGATAAAGCATATCTTCCATCTGCTAGTTAATTCCCCAAATGGCTACAACAGCTGGGGTTGGGCTAGGCTAAAGCCAGGAGCCAGGAGCTTCTTCTGGGTCTCCCACATGGGTGCAGGGGCCCAAGCAGTTGAGCCATCTTCCACTGCTTTTTCCAGGTGCATTAGCAGGGATCTGGATCAGAAGTGGAGCAGCCAACACTGGAACTGGCACCCATATGGGATGCCTGCATTGTAGATGGTGGCTTAAGCCATTATACCACAGCACTGGCCCTCATTCAGTCTGTTTTAGAAAGTTATTATTTATTTGAGCGGTAGATAGAGAATGGCAGAGAGAGAAAAAGGAGAGAGAGAGAGAGAGAGAGAGAGAGAGAGAGAGATCTTCTACCCAGTGGTTCATACCTCAAATGTCTGCCATGGTTGGGGTTGGGCAGACTGAAACCAGGAACTGGGAATGCAGTCCAGCTCTCCCATGAGGGTGATAGAAACCCAGTGACTTGCACCATCACCATTGACCCCATGGTTTGCATTAGCAAGAAGCTGGAGTCAGGAACCCAAGCCAGGATGTGAACCCATGTGCTCTTATCCCCTTAAGCTAAATACCAGTTCCTGGTCTTTCAGTTTTTGAATAATCTGCTGTCATACTTTTGGTGTTCAATATATTGGTGTCTATATTTCTGAGGTATATTTTAAAAGCATGCTTATAAATCAGAAAAAGCTCAATTGCCAAGGGCAAAATTTCTCACAGATCAATTTTTATCTTCTTTGGTATAAGAAATTCCTGTATTCTGAGCTCTGTAAATCTTAGCTTCAGATAAAACTGCAAAAATTATCATTATTGTAGTAGATAAAATGAATCAATTAATCATAAAGTAAGAAAACACTGAAGGGCAAAAACTGTTGGGGAATTACCACAAAGCCGGGTGGTATTGCGTATCCAAGGTGCTGTGATGGTAGCCATGACCATCTGGACTTCTTTAAACCTCAAGAAAGACTTTGAAATTAGAGTTATTCATCATGTGATATAACTAATCCACTTTCACATATCCCTGAAGAATGATACTTTTGTATAAACATGAACCTTTTATCACACAGACTAGGGGAACTTCCAAATTTTTACATGCAAGCTGTTTTTCCAGGAAATAGGTTAAGTCTCCCTTTAAGCTAATTCCTTTGAAAGGTTATAAAGGGTTTACTATTTTAAAAAATTATGACTATCTCAGATTAAATACCTTATTGTCTAGTTACAAGTCAGTGCAGAGTCATATTTTTTGTTTTGCTCTAAATATTAATCTATAGCTACCAAGTGATTTTGCAAGAAGGCGTATTTTTGCTGCTCATTTTCTCAAATGTAAAAATGAATCTCAGGAGCACCATCAGCAGCTACTGTGTGTGCGTGGGAGACTTGTCCTAAAGTAGAGCTTCCCCAAAACTGAGCTCATGATAATGTTGTTCCCCGGATATACTTGCTGTGTCTCCTGAAGAGATTCTTATCACTATTGCAGTCACTAGCATGACTAGTGTTATTTTCAAGAGTCAGAGAGGAAGCACATAGGTTTAGGGCCTGGGACTGTTGCAAGAACCTTTTTACCATTTCCTGATTGTGGGGTTGATCTCCCTCTGTGTCTCATTTTCCTTATAGGTAAAGTAAGGGTAGCATGGAGCCCACCTCGTGGTGTTGTTATGGGGAAGAAATGAGTTAACTTATGCATGTGCACCCCTTACAGTTCTCTCCACCACTTTGTAACCACTCTATACGTGTCATCTGTCAATCACTGCTGAGAACCTGGCAACACTAGTAACCGCTAGTGCTAGACCGCTACCAACCGCCAGTTGGTAGACTGCTGTAGGGCTACAGACTCATTTCAGCTTAAACTGATAGAAACCTCGGGCAGCAGACGTTACTGTTGTAATTGATACTGAAGCCATTTGTGGCTCTGCATATGAAATGCATTGCTGTTAACTTGCAGCATTTTGTCATGACTGCTTGCACAATACTAGTGAGCTTCAAAAAGTTCATGGAAAAATGGACACCAAGTTGATTTTGGTGCAAAAAATTACGAAATTCACACATAATTGTTTCATAATACGTGTTTTCCATGGACTTTTTCCCCAAAGATTTATTTATTTGAAAGTCAGAATTACACAGAGAGAGGAGAGGCAGAGAGAGAGAGGTCTTCCATCTGGTGGTTCACTCCCCAACTGGCTGCAATAGCTGGAGCTGCACCAATCGGAAGCCAGGAGCCAGGAGCTAGGAGCTAGGAGCCAGGAGCCTCTTCCGGGTTTCCCACATGGGTGCAGGGGCCCAAGGACCTGGACCATCTTCCACTGCTTTCCCAGGCCATAGCAGAGAGCTGGATTGGAAGTGGAGCAGCTGGGTATCGGACCGGCGTCCATATGGGATGCCGGTGCTTCAGGCCAGGGCGTTGACCCGCTGCCAGCCCCACCATGGCCTTTTGGACCAGCCTTTTGCAGAGCTGAGTTGCCCATTCTGGAGCAGTCCTTCCCATTACTTAGGCTGCACAGAAGCAGCATTCACCCGTTCTCTCCCCCCACCCCCCTCCCCGCCGCCTTTTAAGCTTTATTTATTTATTTGAAGGAGTTATAGAGAGGCAGAGGCAGACAGAGGGAGAGAGAGAAGAGAGCTTCCAACCACTGGTTCACTCCCCAAAAAGCCACAATGGCCAGAGCGAGTGCAGGGGCCCAAGGACTTGGGCTGTCCTCCACTGCCTTCCCAGGTGCATCATTAGGGAGCTGGATGGGAAGTGGAGCAGCTGGGACCTGAACCTGTGCTCATATGGGATGCCTGGTGTTGCAGGTGGCAGTTTAGCCAGCTGTGCCACAATGTGGGCCACAAGACTGTCACATTTTGAAAAATATACATACCTGCTTATATTATAGACATTATAGACAATATAATTATAATCAAATTTTTCTGGTTTTAATAATTTCTAAGTCTTATTTCTAGCAATTCTCTTGATGTGTAAATGGTCTTTTCAAGACCATAATGTGCAGGGATTATCACTACAAACTATTTAACTCTTTAGGTAGTCTTTTCTAAATAAGTTGAATATAGAGAAAGTTTGAAGCCACCTGCATATCTTGTTTTTACTCAAAGTCTTTTTTTTTTTTCTTTTTTGGAAAGGAACCATTGGGAAAAATAGCAATGCTTGCAAAAAATCTAAAACAGGTGAAGTTACCATTCATTTAGTATGGCTTATATCCCTAAGGTAAGGAATGAAATGTTCTTTAGAGATAATAGTTTAAGAGCAAATTTTATTAAACACAAACATGACATTAAAAAACACTGATTTTTTCATTCCATTTTCTTATTCATTTTTTCAGAAAAAATGTAGGAGAAAGATTGTATGCTAATAATTATTAATAACATGGGAATGAAGAGCAACTCTTTTGTAAATATTTTTTTAAATATTTGGTTTTTTTTTTTTTGAAAGAGAGAGTGAGAAAAAGAGAGATCCTCCATCCTTTGGTTCTCTCCCTAAATGCCTACACAAGTCAGGGCTGGGTCAGGCTGAAGCATGGAGGGAGGAACTATATCCAGGTCTCCTATGCGGGTAGCAGGAGCCCATGTACCTCTCACCACCTCTCAGGTACATCAGCCAGAACCTGGATTAGAAACATGGAATAGCTGGGATTCGAACCAGGCACTTGGATATGGGATGCAGGGGTGGCATACACTGACTTCACCCACTGTACCACAATGCCTGCCCCAAGAAACACGGTTGCATACTTTATAAGCCACTTGAGCATTTTAAAAGTGAAGTGTCTTTTAGGAAGTAGTGTTGTTCCCAAGTTTGCAGAAGTCTCATGGAACAAAGTAGAAATGAATATTTATACCTTGGAATTCCCATTTTCCCAAATAAGCTACTTACTTAGGAAGTATGTCATTTACTTCATAAATTTCCAAAGTATTTAAAGGTCTTTCACTCACATTTGAACTACTGTTGGTTAGATACCAGAATCAGACAAATGACACAAATCCTGGGAACATGTTGACTTCATTTTCTCTCCTGAATCCACAATTTGTCTCTGGCTTTGACCACTGGATTAAATTTTCAGTGTTACTTGATGTCCACTAGGGGGGACCAAACCACAAACAAGAGTATGAGCTGCTGTACTCTCCTGAGTAGTAAAACATGCCAGCCGTTTCAGATTGCCCACCTGAAATCCACACATTACATTTCCGTATTTCCTATCTCTGAAAGGCCTGCTCTAGCAGGATATGCAAGCAAATCTATGAAAAGACAGGACTCCATGTTAGACAGTATTCTATAGTGAGTGAATGCTGTCTGCAGTCTGGTATGAAAGAGCACAGAAAAACACAAAACTGTTTTGAAATCACTCAACTTTTAATATATACATAGTTGCAAGTTTGAGAACACTTGACTGATTTAACAAGAAGGCAGAGGTGAATTTTGAAATCTGAATCCATAATGTAGTAAGTTAACATACTTGGGATCATGATTGATTTCCAGAACTAAGATTTAATGGAATTGTAATCAAATATTTTTATAAATAGATAACTTAAAATCAATAAAATTGACATTTATTTGTAATTTGCACTTTGAAATAACAGTTTGAAATATTGCTTTCCAAAATAAAATCAACGTGTACCTTTTTACTCTATGAAATTCAAGTTCAATATCTCTGTTATTACATCAAATCTCTAATTTGTAAAACAGTTTTGTGACATGAAATAATATATTTTGTGGACTTTCTTTGCTCTTTCTTAAAGTGTTTTCTTTCTTTTCTTTTCTTTTTTTTTTTTGACAGGCAGAGTGGACAGTGAGAGAGAGACACAGAGAGAAAGGTCTTCCTTTTTGCCGTTGGTTCACCCTCCAGTGGCCGCCACGGCCAGCACACCGCGCTGATCCGAAGGCAGGAGCCAGGTGCTTCTCCTGGTCTCCCATGGGGTGCAGGGCCCAAGCACTTGGGCCATCCTCCACTGCACTCCCGGGCCATAGCAGAGAGCTGGCCTGGAAGAGGGCAACCGGGACAGAATCCGGCGCCCTGACCGGGACTAGAACCCGGTGTGCCGGCGCCGCAAGGTGGAGGATTAGCCTATTGAGCCACGGCCAGCCCGTTTTCTTTTTTTTTTTTTTAACTTTTATTTAATGAATATAAATTTCCAAAGTACAGCTTATGGATTACAATGGCTTCCCCCTTCCACATAACTTCCCTCCCACCCACAACACTCCCCTTTCCCGCTCCCTCTCCCCTTCCATTCACATCAAGATTCATTTTCGATTCTCTTTATATACAGAAGATCAGTTTAGCATATATTAAGTAAAGATTTCAACAGTTTGCACCCACATAGAAACACAAAGTGAAAAATACTGTTTGAGTACTAGTTATAGCATTAAATCACAATGTACAGCACATTAAGGACAGAGATCCTACATGAGGAGTAAGTGCACAGTGACTCCTGTTGTTGACTTAGCAAATTGACACTCTTGTTTATGGCATCAGTATTCACCCTAGGCTCTTGTCATGAGTTGCCAAGGCTATGGAAGCCTTTTGAGTTCACCAACTTCGATCATATTTAGACAAGGTCATAGTTGTGGGGAGCAACTCGGACTAGACTAAGTTACTGGAATTAAGACTTATTCTATGCATCTGCTCTCCCACAATATGGCGCTGAGAAGGGAGAAACAGCTTCTACACAGCTGCCTCCAGTTCAACCAATAAACAGCAGGACCTGCTCCTGATTGGAGGAGGGCAGCGTACTCGGCGTGTGGGTAGCAGAGTTGGGATTGGTGGAAGAGGACTATAAAGGAGGAGAGAGACAACATGCACCAGGAACATCTAAGGGGAACATCTATCTGAAGGAACACCTGTGCAGCCCCCGAGAGAGCCGGCCGGCGGTGTGCCGCTCCCCCGCGGAAGTGGGGAAAGTGGCCAGGGGGAACCGCCCTTCCACGGAGGTGGAAGGGACAGTAGCCAACCCGGGAAGAACCAGCAGCAAACCCGGGGAGGGCCGAGCAGACAAAAGAACAGCGCAGGGTCCTGTGTCGTTCCTCCACGAAGACGGGGAGCGACAATAGTCAAAGTGGAAGTTCTCTCCTCCCTTTAGAGAAAGGTACCTCCTTCTTTGATGACCTGTTCCTTAAAGCATTTTCACATTTTGTGAAATTTAATATTCCAAGAAAAGCAGATTTGATTTCATGTAAATATGAGTCTCATGTTGCAATATTTTTCAAAATAAAAAGTAAGCACACTCAAATAAGAATCACTTTGTAGAATTATAATTTAACCAATTTTTTTCTTATGGGCATCTTGAGTCTTACTGTTAAACTAAATATGAAAATTATATTTAGCATGGAAATGAAAACATGAGTTGGTTAAAACAACAACAATGAAAGAGTTAAACTGCAACCCTCTAGCGTCTGTCATATGTATTTCTCTGGGAAATACAGGAAGCTATTGCAGAAACTAAATGTCCACTAGATGCCACACTTCCTTTGCTGAGTAAATCAGCCCTTGGACTCCTGGCAAGCTCCCTGCATATGCTGTCGGATCCAATAACAGGACCTCAGCTCAATTATCTTTTCTGTTACATCCTTTCTTTGCTGTCCTTGGAGTGTTATGCCCAATCATCCAAAATTTACAGTAGTAGTAGCCTATAACATTCTGCGAGAATCTTAGGTACAAGTACAGTGAGTTTATATTTACTGAGCTTAAAGATCAAGTCAAAGCTAACGGTCCTCATTAAAAATAAGTCTTCAGGCCGGCGCCACGGCTCACTAGGCTAATCCTCCGCCTGCGGCACCAGCATCCTGGGTTCTAGTCCCAGTTGGGGTGCCGGATTCTGTCCCGGTTGCCCCTCTTCCAGTCCAGCTTTCTACTGTGGCTAGGGAGGGCAGTGGAGGATGGCCCAAGTGCTTGGACCCTGTACCCGCCTGGGAGACCAGGAGAAGCACCTGGCTCCTGGCTTTGGATCGGCGCAGCGCGCTGGGCGTAGTGGCCATTTTGAGGGTAAACCAACGGAAGGAAGACCTTTCTCTCTGTCTCTCTCTCTTCACTGTCTAACTCTGCCTGTCAAAAAAAAAAAAAAAAAAAAAGTCTTCATTTCAGAGCATTTTTTGGGGGGGATAGCAGCTGAAGATAGTTTTGTTTAGGTGCAAACATGTGGCATGGTGGATTAATTCACCGCTTGGGTTACCAGCAACCTAAATCAGAGTGCCTAGTTTGAGTCCTAGCTACCCTACTTCTGACCCAGCTTCCTTCTAATGCATCCTGGGAGGCAGTGGATGATGGCTCAGGTGTTTGGGTCCCTGGCACCTACGTGGGAGGCCTGAATAAGGGTCCAGGCTCCTGCCTTCAGCTGGCCCAGCTCTAGCTATTAGGGGCTTTTTGGGAGGGGACAGTGGGTGGAAGATCTCTCTCTCCCTCTCCCTCTCACTCTCACTCTCTCTCTGTCTCTGTTGGTCTGCCTTTCAAAAATAAATACATAAACAATTAAAAAACAGTTTCATTTAGATCTTCCACTATTTAATTTTGAAAACTATGTGTTCTTTTAAAATTTTGTATACTTTGTCTATTTTCTCTCTCAAGGAAAAACTAGGAAAAAAGCTAATTTTCTAAAAATAAAGCGAGGAGATATAGCTTAACTTGAGAACTACACTGGGTGAAATGGAGATTAAATTATCTTTAGGGGCACTGATATTTTGTTTTCATAGATACTAAAATAGAAAGAAATGAAAGATATTTCCGTTTTCTCTTACATTTTGAATAGGCTGAATTCAATAATGAAAGCAATAGAAATTGGTAGTGAAAGAAGCACAAGGCATTATTATCATATACTATGAGACAACTAAGAGATACTGAGTGTTCAGAACATTTATACTGAATGTGAGCCACAGATGTTTGATGTTCTTATCAACTGTAAGTTATAAAATCTTCATTGGAATATAATCTGATAACAATAATATAATAATAATAATATAATCTGAAATTAGTGTTTGGTGATACAGAATAAATAACATACCTTCAGCAGCTGATACTGTGAGACCAGTCCTCTGTGTTCTTCCACATTCTCAGTCATCTGAGAAAATCCTTCCCAGGACCATTACGGGATGGGTTCACACAGATTGTGGGAGCAGGCAGTTAGATCAGCACTTTACCATAATGCCTGAGTTGAATTCCCAGACTGACTCTTGACTCCATGTTCCTGCTTATGCAGACCTTGGGAGACTGTAGTCATGGCTCAGATAATGAGATTCCTGCCACCCACGTTAGGAGACCTGGATTGTATTCCTGGCTGCTGGCCTCTGGCCCCAGCCCTAGTCATTGTGGTTCATTTGGGGAGTAAACTAGTGGAGAGGCCATCTCTCTCACTCTGTCTCAAACAAATTTAAAAAAGTGAAATCCATAGGAAATTTACCTTGCCTTTTTTTTTTAAATAAAGATTTGTTTATTCGAAAGGCAGAGTGAGTTACAGAGAGAGAGGGAGAGACAGAGACAGAGATCTTCCCATCCACTGGTTCACTCCCCAAACGGCCACAACAGCCAAAGTCAGGAGCCACGAATTCCATCCGGGCATCCTATGTGGATAGCAGGGGCACAAATACTTAGATCATCTTCCATTGCTTTCCCACGTGCATTAGCAGGGAGCTGGATCAGAAAAGGAGCAACTAGGACTCTAGTAGACAATCATATGGGATGCTGGCATTGCAGCTTGTGGCTTAACCCACTGCACTGCAACACTGGTCCCCACCTTATCTTTTAATTCCATTTTCTGATAAACTTTTTGAAGCCTCCTTAAAAAACTTTGTGGTGTTGTGTTTTCCTTATTCCCAGACTTTTTTGAGGATCTGGTCACTATTTCTGATTGTTAAGGAATCTACTATGAATTATTTTTAGCTTTTTAAAAAAAGATTAATTAATTAATTTATTTGAAAGGCAGAGTTACAGGAAGAGAGGCAGAGGCAGAGAGAGAGAGAGAGAGAGAGAGAGAGAGAGAGAGGGATCTTCCATCCGCTGGTTCACTCCCCAAAATGGCTGCAGTGGTTGGAACTGGGCCGATTCGAAGTCAGGAGCCAGGAGCATCTTCCAGGTCTCCCATGTGGGTGCAGGGGCCCAGTAACTTAGGCTATCTTCCACTGCCTTCTCAGGCCACACAGGGAGCTGGATGGGAAGTGGAGCAGCTGGGACTCGAACCGGCGCCCATATGGAATGGTGGCACTGCAGATGGTGGCTTTACCTGCTATGCCACAGCGCTGGCCCCTTAGCTTTATTTTAAAAAATATTTATGTATTTATTTGAGAGGCAGAGTTTATAGAGAAAGAGAGGGAGAGACAGACAGACAGTGAGCTTCCATCCACTGGTTTACTCTCCAAATGGCTATAACAACTGGAGCTGGGCTGGTCTGAAGCTAGGAGCCAGGAGCTTCCTTTGGGTCTCCCACATGGGTGCAGAGGCATAAACACTTGGTTCATCTTCCTCTGCTTTCCCAGGCACAATAGAGGGAACTGGATCAGAAGTGGAGCAGCCAGGACTCAAACTCTCACCCGTGGCATCACAGGCTGTGGCTTTACCCACCATGCTACAACGGCAGCCCCAGTGAATTTTTTTGTTAAAGATTTATTTTATTTGACAGGCAGAGAGACAGAGACAGAGAGAGAGAGAGAGGGAGAGAGAGAGAGAATTAATTGCCTATCCAAATGGCCACAGGCTGAAGTCAAGAGCCAGGAGCCAGGAACTACATTTGGGTCTCTGGGTAGAGAGCCAAGCACTTGGGCCTTCTTCCATTGCCTTTCCCAGGGAAAGGCAGGATCCAGCAGGGAGCTGGATCAGAAGTGGACTATCCAGGACACATACTGGTGCCCACGTGGGATGTCAGCATCACAGACAGTGGTTTAACTAGTTGTGCCACGATACTGACCCCTACAGTGAATTTTAAAAATTGCATTTAAACTAATTTTAGCTGCTTGAGTAACTAGTAGATTTTAACACTTGGTATGTTTTTTTTTTCTTTCCAACATTAATGTGTTTCGAGGAGTAATTTTAATGTAATCTATGTCATTGTAACCTATATGAGAGATTCCCTCCCCCACTCCCTACTTTCTTTCTTTCTCTAGCTGACATAAACAATACTAAGTTTATTGGCCAATTCATTGAAGAAAAGAGCAAATTCTATAGGTGAAGGAAATACCAAGCAAGTCTCCAGTTTAAGAAAATATAACAAAAAGCAACAAACAGATAAATCAAGGAAATTGTTTTGATCTGTCCATCCGGATCATCTGTCTCCAACTGATTCTTCGCATCTCTCCCCATCCAAGGGCTCATCCTTAAATCTTCTGATTTCTTTTATGAGATGAACAGTTTACATGTGGCACAAGGATGAACTCCAATGCTAGATGAATATAGTTATAATCTAATTAAGCCCTTCATATTGAGGAGGTCTGATTGAGCTTGACAAATGAGAGTGGTGAATACATCCTTTTTTTAAAAAAAATTTAAATTTGTATTTAGTTGAGAGTAATGGAAAAAAAAGGAGAGAGGGAGGGAGAGTGGGATGGAGAGAGAGAGAGAAAGAGAGAGAACGCAAGAGAACTCTTATCCTCCTCTGGCTTACTCTCCAAAAGCCTGCACAGCCTGTGCTGGGCAAGGCCAAAGCTGGAAGCCAAGAAGTCAATCCTGGTCTCCCATGTGGGTGGCAGGAACCCAAGTACTTAGGCCATCAGCTGCTGCCTCCCGGGGGACCTGCATTAGCAGGAAACTGGAATTGGGGGTGGAGCTAGAACCCCTACCAGTTCCAGCAGGTGTCCCAACCAGCATCTTAGCTGCTGTGCCAAAAGGCTGCCCCATGTTATAATTTTAAATGCAAGGTAGAAAACTCTGTGGGCTTAAAATTGATCTAGCACATTTCCAGAGATGAATGTAAGGATGGGTGGTTATCTACCAGCCATCGATAAAGTAGTATCTATAAGGAGTCAGATCCAATATGTTCAATGAGGCTAAGAAACTGATTTACATCTTGAAGAGAGATCAGTAGTAATAATCACTAATGCTAAAGCTAATATTAAAATCATTGATTATTATTGAGTCTATCACTGAATTTTTTGCTGTTATTATCTTAATTTAAAGTATGATGTTTTTTATTTTTATTTTTCTTTAACTTTTAAAAAAATTATTTGAAAGGGTAACACAGAGAGAGAAGGAGAGGCAGAGAGAGAGTCTTACATCCGCTGGTTCACTCCCCAATTGGCCACAATGGCTGGAGCTGTGCCGATCCGAAGCCAGGAGCCAAGAGCTTCTTCCAGGTCTCCCACGTGCGTGCAGGGGCCAAGGCTTGGGCCATCTTCTACTGCCTACTCTGGCCATAGCAGAGAGCTAGATTGGAAGTGGAGCAGCTGGGACCTGAACTGGCACCCAAATGGGATGCTGGCACTGCAGGTGGTGGCTTTACCTGCTATATTTTGCTTTGTGAAAAACTTTCTTGCTTTTTCTTCTTTTATCTCCATTATTTTGCCAAGAACTTTCTAATTTGGAGAGCACTTATTGTTATGGTGTCCTCAGGTTAGACTGTCTTGGGTCACTGAACTATTTGGGATGCAACCAAAACTACATACAAATGCTACCTATTGCATATATTTCAGTTTTGAATATCCTACTTAATTCTACAGAAGTTAAGAGAAGAAAAGGTAGAATAAGGATCATCATTCAGATTTAATCCTTGTTTATTTCTACATAAGGAAGCCAAGCAAATTCATCAACCGGAATAAGCAGTCCTGGAACATGTTAATTAGCTTTACTGATTACTTACTGCTTTGAAAGGTGGTATAGCCACAGACGGACTGTGTGATGGACTAAATGTTTATATCCTTCTCCTCCCTACCCTCATTCCCAATGCACATGTTGAAATCCTAATCTCGGGACTGGCATTGTGGTGCAGTGGGTTAAGCCTCTGCTTGTGACAGTGGCATCCTATGTTGGAGTTCTGGTTCAAGTCTTGGCTAGAGTTCTGGGTTCCTGGCCCAGCCCTAGCTGTTGTGGCCACTGGGGAGAGAACCAATGGATGGAAGACTCTCTTTCTATCTCCATACACACACACACACACACACACACACATTTCTTTGTCACTTTGCCTTTTAAATAAATACATAAATAAATCTTAAGAAAAAAGAAAGAAATTATACCCCCCAATGTGAAGGTATTAGTGTGTAGGGCCTTTGGGAAGTGATTAGGTCATGAAGATGGAGTCTTTATGAATGGGGTTAGTGCCCTTAACAGAGACATGAGAACTTGCCCTTTTGTCTCTGTTCTGCATTATGTGAGGATACAAGGCCACTGACAAAACAGGAGGAGGATCCTTACCCAGAACGCAGCTACCCAGGCACCACGATCTTGGACTTTCCAGCCTCCAGAACTGTGAGAAATAATTTCTGTTGTTGAAGACATCCAATCTATGGTATTCTGTTGTAGCAGCTGGAACTGCCCAAGAAAGACTGTAGCTTCTGTAACTCCCATGGGAGTTTTTCGGTAGAACATGTAGGTGAATATAGAAATACCAATTTCAGGGCAGGCAATGATCTTGAAGTGGCCTACAAAGGTAGTTACAAATTGTTTCTGTTTATACATATCCTTTTCTTTTACAATGAGACTTTGCATATCCTCTCACAAAGAAGTTGAATCTTTTCATTGGTTGAATGTGTGCCATGTGACTTACTTTGAACTGTGAGTGAGTAGCAAATGTGATATAAATGGAAAATAGATTTGGTTCACTAGGACTTGCCTTTCTTGTTGCTCTCTCAGGCTCCTGTACCCACTACAAAGTGAGTGAACCTGGGCAGGCCTCATGGAATAATCCGATTTATAGTCCACTTGCTGTGCTGCATCAGCAGCCTCCACACAGAAAGGTAAAACTTTGAACGCCAGCTGACCACACTTACATGCAGGGTGGCCAACTCATGAGTTGGAGTTTTCCTGGTTTTATTAATAAAAATCGCAGATCCCAGGAACCTCTTCAGTCCTAGCCAAAATTAGAAGGTTTGTTATTTGAGAAAAATGATTGAGCCCAGCCCTGGATAGCAGAAGAACCATTGTCTGTGCTCAAATTGCTTACCTACAAAATCATGAGCTAATGAATGGTTGTTGTTATTTTAATCCATAGAGCTTTGGCATAGTAATGCAGTAGAAGCTAACTGAATCAGACTTTTATAGCTCTATTCACTTCAGGTTTTTCACTTTGGAGATGAGAGAGTTGAAATCCAGGAAGATATAATGACATAACCATGGTCACATATCTGATAAGTATTAAGTTTGACAAGACAAATACAAATCAATATTAAAATCAATATCAAAATTAATATCAATATCCATGGATGTGGATAGCCTCCAAGGAATAATACTTGAATAATAGTATATAACAATGTCCACAGCTATTGATCCATTTGTGTATATCAAAATGGAAGGTTATATTGTGCAATATACAAGAGCCAGGGTTTTGAAGACAGGCAGAGTGAGTTCAAATCTGCTTGATTGCTTCAGACCTTAGGCAATTTACCTAGCCTATTTGGTCAGGGAGAAATAATTTCTCTTGTTGTTTCACTTTCCTCATTTGTGAAATGGGTTATTTGTACATATCTTAAAGGTTTGATAAAGTGAGAATTAATTAATTTTTAAAAGATGTATTTATTTATTTGAAAAGCAGAGTTACACAGAGCGAAAGAGACCCCATCTCCTGGCTTTGGCCCAGTCCTGGCCATTGTGGCCATTTGGGGAGTGAACCAGATAAAAAATCTTTTGCTCTCTCTTCCTCTCTCTCTCTCTGTCTCTCTGTAACTCTGCTTTTCAAATAAACAAATAAATGTTTTTTTTTTTTTTTAATTTGACAGATAGAGTTATAGACAGTGAGAGAGAGACAGAGAGAAAGGTTCTTCCTTCCATTGATTCACTCCCCAAATGGTTGCCATGGCCAGGGCTGCACCAGTCTGAAGCCAGGAGCCAGGTGCAGGGGCCCAAGCACCTGACCCATCTTCCACTGCCCTCCCCGGGCCACAGCAGAGAGCTGGACTGGAAGAGGAGCAACCAGGACTAGAACCCGGTGCCCATATGGGATGCCGGCGCCGCAGGCGGAGGATTAACCAAGTGAGCCATGGCGCCGGTCCACAAATAAATATTTTTTAAATATAAGAGAAGCAGAGAACCTAATTTTAGTTATTTTATGACTTATTTCCCCTAATTTCTTTATAATATCATAAACATTTATAACTGCAATTATCAGGAAACTATGTGGTTAAGTGATTCCTTTTTTAATAACCTCTTTTCTGTTGATAGCTGGTTTGAATAGAAGAATCCATTATACATAGACCTTAGTTAAAACTTTTTCATTTTTGTTTGCAACTATTGTATTTTACTGTTCATTATTTATAATCATTATTTCATTTCGTTATGTGAGTTTCAGATAATTATAAGGGAGTATAGCTAAGGGCATTCTATAAGAAAATATTCAGCATTAGTAAAAGCTAGTCCGAAAGTGCTTTGAAGGGTGAAAGGTAACTCAGAAAGCAAAAGACACTAAGCTGTTCTGCTTGAACTGACCGCACAATGAATGGCAAGCTGGTACAGTGCAGAAGCGGAAATCCATTCAGGTAACCAAAACAAAACAAACAAGACAAAAAAACAGACACCAGCTGTAACCCCCCCAGCCGCAGATGGAAGAAAGAAACATTACAGAAGAAGCATCTTTACTTCTCCATACTGTAGTTTTTGTGAATGACCATGGTAATGTCTCTAGTATGGGAGCACATTAAGAAGAAAAGACAAGATCGGCACCGTGACCACACCACAAGCCTCAGGAAAGGCATTGTCAGTTTATTGTTGAAGGCACATTGTTTAACATTTCACCGAGGAAAATATCCATTGGTATTTCAGGGGCACAGTTGCATCTCCGAAGCTTCCTCTGCTTACAGTTGTCTCATAAATTCTATGGTAATCAACCCAATCCTCAATAAGGTGATATGTCTGTGGGTGTCTAATTTAAGTAATCAACATGTAGAACCTTCATAGAGGTTTTTTTAAAGTTAGAAAGAAATTATGCTCTCTGGATTTGACATTAGCATGTTTTCATATTAGTGAGTAAAATTGTGTTCAAGAAAATTATAAGTGATTTCATCTAAATAAATAAAATTTTAAGAAGATAAGTGGTTAAGGTTTACAGTACAAATTAAGTTCCCTATAACATAATTAATATTTTTTGTATATCATTACCAAACAGATTAAAACAAGCTCATGAACATTTGCATTTGGAAGAGCATCGCTTTAACCCCATGTATGCAGAATGAAGTCTTTGGTGTGTTAGAGGTGCACCGTGTGTGCTTGTTCGGAGGAAAGCTCTGTTTCTCTACAGGCAGGTTTACAACACAGTGGCAGCATCGCCGCCAGCTGCTCCAAGGTGTCCCACCAGGGAGCTTTCATCTCTCCCTGGTGAGATCAGACTAAGCTGGTAGTTGAAATTCCATTGCCCATTCAGTCTCCTGAGGCTTCAAAGGAGGGAGCCAGTTCTGATGGTGGGTGCTGGCTGAGTGACAGACTCATGTCCACGAGTCGTCATACTGAGTCTGCCTGCAGTTCACATTATAAACTCCAGTGGGTGACACTCAGGCAGGTGCACGTGGATTGGGTTTCGACTGAGAACTGATGATAGTCTGTGAGTGAGAGCGTGTTCCTAGTCCCCCGAGTTTATCAAAAGCCACCGATTATTTCTTTGGTGGTCTACCTTGTGCAGCAGCTAGCATTCCTATTTTGTTGTCTTTTTAAAGAGCAACATCTTGTTATTTGTAAAGAGGAAAAAAAAATCTTGCGTGATATTTAAGAAGTTTAACATAGATGGCTAAGTGATACCACGTTTCTTCTGTAGATGTTTGATCAGATGAGTAAGTAAAAATTCTCTCGTTTATGTTTTAACAGTCTTACTTATAAACGTATTTATGTGACTTAACTAGGTGAAATATATGTTTAGATATGACTCTGCACACTTAGAGATAGTTACCCAAGAGAAGGAAAATTGTAAATTTTGAGACATAAGGAAATTGCAGTTTAATAAAGGATAATACATGGCTGACTTTGTTATCATAATGCTTCTTTGCTGTTGCTGAACAAACAACATTTTATGAATTAGTACGTTTTACCTGGAGATGTTGCAGACCACAGAGAAGCATAATTAAATATTAAATATTGAGTCAACAACTTTCCTTTTACAGGGAATAGCCTAAGAAGAGGATTTTGTTCTATACTTTTCTAACAGTTTATGTTAAAACTTTTTAAACTTCAAATTGATTTTAAGTGGGAAGAGAGAGAAGGTAGGAAGGAGAGAGAGAGAGAGAGAGAGAGAGTCAACAGTCTAAATTGTACTAAATATATACATATATATAATTTTTACATACTCTTACTAATCAGTGATCAAAAGGTTGAATGACTTGTTTTATTTTTGCACTTCAAGTATGTATATGCATTTTATATACTGATGATGCTTTTAATCTTGTAAGAACCACATCCAGCAATGAATCACATTCTTTGAGTGAATAATTCAGTCCTTGACGCCAACCTCTGAGGGGGAATATTGTGGTCATGCTGTCTGAACAGTGTGGTAGCTATGGCTACCTATATAATTCTTCGCAATGAAAAAAAAAAGTGACAATGACATTAAATTTAATCAGGTTCCCCTTTCCTGTGGTTCCCACTGGGATGAGCCACTAGTGTCTTGCCTTAAATATTCAAAGGCCTTCCTGAGTAGTTTGCATGTGTTCATATAGTGGCACAGTGTCCTGCTACTACAGAACAATGGATCTGTCATGTAATTCTCCTGCAAGTGGATGTGAGTCTAACATGACTAAGTATAGGGCTTAAGAGCTGTTTTTCCCCCAGTGACCATCTTTACTTAAGTTTTAACAAACAGCAGTGAGGGAATGTATGCCGATATTGAAGTGTAATAAACCCGATTATCAGAGTTGGGAACTCAGATGTGGTAAAGAATTGTGATTGGGAAATAATAATAAAGCTGCCTAGCATTTTTAATCACACTTTTTCTGAAACAAAGGGCACAGCCCAGAATATTGTGTGGCTGAAAACATTTGAGAAACATACTTAAATGTTCAGGGACCATCCTCTGTGTTTCTTCCTGTGTCCTTCTGCAGAAACTCATGTGGGTATCACCTGCTTTTAAGTCATTGTGGAAAAATTATAAGAAAGATTTTATGTCCATTGTGCATACCTGCAGAGAAGCTATTTTTTGGCATTCACAGGATGAAAAAAAAAGGATGTTCCCTATATTTATCTGTGATATGATATATTTGTGCCATTTGTTTAAAATCTTGCTGATGGCTCAGAATTTTAATATTTGGAGACTGGATGAAGGGAAGTGCAAATGAGCATCTTTCTTCTATCTTTCCTTTTCAGGTGGTCAAAACAAAACAAGTAAACAAAATTTGCAAAACATATTCATTATTTCTAGGAAAGAACTGCACTTCGAAAGTCCTTTAAAATTCCAGGTGACACTTTCTGCTATCAAAATAGAGTAAGTTTGTCTTGGGTTACATTTAATGTCTTTAGTATTTGATATAAAAAAACTAATCCTGACAGTGTTTGAGTAGCATTAATTAACATGTTTACAATTGTAAATCTAAGAGTAATAGCCATAATGTAAGATGAAGTTCACATTTATTTCAGAATTTTAAAGAAGATTACACAGGATTACCTGCTAACTTTGTTCTATAAATAAACTAGAAGGGGATGTAGAATCTGTGGTAAATACTGAGCATTTCTTTGTTGGTCTTTTACTATTTTGTCTCCTTTATTGGATCTTAACTTCTATTGAAATTTTAGGGATCTTTGTCTCATAGATGTGCAAGTTTAACTCCTATTAGTTTCAATTTCATTGCATAAATATTGTTAGTTTATTGCATAACAGAAAGGAGGATTGAACCCTTTATAACTTTAATTCTCTAGAAAGGTGTTTGAAGAGGGACAACTTAAAATTCTTTCTAATGTCAAGATCATAGTCAAAGGACTGAGCCTATCATAAACGTATCAGAAAACTCTTTCTGTAGTGACATATCATTGACCTCAAAGTCATGGAGAAGTTCAAGGTCAACCAGTGAGACACTCACAGTGGTCAGCTATTTTTGACTGACTGACACTTGTTTTTTAACTTTTGAAAACGTGATTTCATGTTTATCAAACTCTGACATAAAGCATTGTGTGCAATATAGAAATAGGGACCCTATGCTCTGGCTTTCTAATATAAATTTGACAGACAATATATTGGCATCCTCTTTAGGACAGATCAGTGTCAAGGGGGCAGGAGGTCAAGAATGAACAGTCTTACTGAATAGGTTTCAGGCAGAGAAGACAGGTTCCACAGGAAGAATGCCTCTCCAGATCGTCCATCTGTAGACCTAAGACATTGCAACTCAACCCTCTCTACTCTTCTATTGTTTGGCGACAGGGAGATAAAACAAATCAGTAACCTATGCATGTGTGATGAAGACAACGTGAAATCATTGTTCAGTTTACAGTGGAAAGGAGTCTAGAGAGAGTTGTGTGTGGGTACCAGGAATTAACTTAGAACAAAAAGAGTAGTAGGTAAAATTTATCTTTATGACTTTCTATGCCTCAGGATTTATCTTTTTCTCTCCTTTATGATAAACTCTTCCTAAATGTTTATTGCATTTTGTGTGTGAAGTGGTAGCTGATAAATGTCTAGCATCTGATCAATTCCAGAAAGTCTGAAAGTGCCTTGAAATCTATCACTTTAGCCTTCTTTTTTTATTTTTTTTAATTTTTATTTATTTATTTATTTTTTTTTATTTTTTGACAGGCAGAGTGGACAGTGAGAGAGAGAGACAGAGAGAAAGGTCTTCCTTTTGCCGTTGGTTCACCCTCCAGTGGCCGCCGCGGCCAGTGCGCTGCGGCCGGCGCACCGCGCTGATCCGATGGCAGGAGCCAGGAGCCAGGTGCTTTTCCTGGTCTCCCATGGGGTGCAGGGCCCAAGCACCTGGGCCATCCTCCACTGCACTCCCTGGCCACAGCAGAGAGCTGGCCTGGAAGAGGGGCAACCGGGACAGAATCCGGCGCCCCGACCGGGACTAGAACCTGGTGTGCTGGCGCCGCTAGGCGGAGGATTAGCCTAGTGAGCCGCGCACTTTAGCCTTCTTTCATTTGTGCTTTTCCTATTCAAGCCTTGTTCTGACTATAGGAACCCAAGTTTTAAGAAACCATGAAAGTTTACCTCATTTTTTGACAGTGAGATTATTTGTATGAAGTCCTTGATTCCAGAGGGGTTGAACAATAAGAATTTGGGATGCTACTTCAGGAACTTACTGGTCTTTGCATTAGGCTTAGTGATTTTTGGTACTTTTTATTCTTTACAGAAGTCACATTAAAAATTCTTTATACGTAACAACAATCTTTTGAAAAAGATCTCCTTAGAAATATGTGTTCCTTGGAGGAAAAATAATCAAAGGCATCAGGTTTTTTAAAAAATGCTTATTCTCATTATATAGACATTTCCATTAAGGACATTTAGACCATCACCATTATTTTTCAATTATAAATTGTGTAGTGATTAATGCCTTGTATTTGAATATTTTTTGTTGTTAAACCTTTTGAAATTAAGCTACAGACATTATGATATTTTATTTTTTTAAAAAAATTTATTTATTTACTTGAAAGGCAATGTTACAGAGAGGCAGAGAGAGAGAGAGAGAGAGAGAGAGAGATCTTCCATGTGTTGGATTACTACCCAAATGGTTGCAACGTCCAGGACTGGCCCATCTGAAGCTAGGAGCCAGGAGCTTCTTCTCTATCTCCCACGTGGCTACAGGGACCCAAGGACTTGGGCCGTCCTTCACTGCTTTCCTAGGCACATTAGCAGGGAGCTGGATCAGAAGTGGAGCAGCCAGGACTTGAACCAGCACCCATATGGGATGCCAGCACTGCAAGTGGCAGTTTTACCAGCTATGCCATAGCACCAGCCCCATGATATTTTATCTTAACTATCTTAGCATGTGTCTTGTAAAAACAAGGACACTTTCCAAAAAAATCTCAATGCTATTTTCCCAAGAGTTTAACATTGCAGTTTCTAAAATATATCCTGTAATCAAATTTCAGTTGCCCCACAAATCCCCTTATACAGCTGTATGGTTTTCCTTCCTTTCCTCCTTCTTCCCTCCTCTCCTTCTTTTTCTCCTTTCCTTCCATCCTTCTATGCTTTTCAATCCAGACCCAATCAAGGAATGACATTGTTTATAGTTATATTAAGAGTATTCTTTAAGGTAGAATTTTCCTGCTTCCACTGGTGTTTGTTTAACCATGCTCTTTGCATTTTTGGAGAGTTCAAGTCAATTGTTTTTTCCTTCCTTCTTTCTCTTTCTCCCTTTCTCAGATTTCTTTTCTTCATTTTAAAGGTAGAGTTATATACAGACAAACACACATGCACACACACACCGAGAGAGAGAGAGAGGGAGAGAGAGAGAGAGAGAGAGGAGATATCTCTTATCTGCTGGTTCACTCCTCAAATGTTCACAACAAACAGGGCTGGGCCAGGCTGAAGCCAGGAGCCTGGAAATCCATCTGGGTCTCCCATGTGGGTGGCAGGAGTCCCAGTTCTTGGGCCATGTTCCCCTGCCTTCCCAGGTGCATTAACAGAGACCTGAATTGGAAACTGAGTAGCCGAGACTCCAGCTAGCACCGCAGTATGCAGAGCTGACATCTCAAGCAGCAGCTAGCAACACTAGATCCGATGCTTATAGTTCTTTTAACTCTAGTTTTACAGCATCCATTCAAAAGTATAAAATCATTTTTAAAAAGTTTAGAGAAAGTTCTTAAGCTTTATTTTAAAAATTATACAAATACACTATTATTGTCAAAGATTGGAGCACTATAGAACATAGCACAAAACAGTTAAAATTTTGGTTTATATTTTCCAAATCCACTTATAGTGTCTTATGTATGTGCGTATATGTGTATGTATGATCAGTATGTGTATATGTTAAGAGATGCATATGCATATGCATACATATATTTGCAAGTAGACATATATAGCTATTTCTCTAATTTATATGCACTATTTGGCATCTAGCTTCTTTGAAATTAATGCATTGTTATGTGCAGGTAATTACTACTTTTAAGGGTATTGTTTTTGGTATAATTGTGTGTACCATTGTTTATTTACTTGTTCCCTTCAACATTAAATGACTGTTTAGTTTCTCGGCTGCTTTAACTAAATGGGGTTGCTTAAAACAAAGAAGTTGATTGTGTCATAGTCTGGCTGCTAGGTTTGTAATCACAGTGTCCAACAGGATCTGCTTTCTCTCTGATGGCTCTAGAGAAGAATCTGTCTTAACTCCCAATGTCTGTGGTTTACCAGCAGTCCTTATTTTCCTTGGCTTAGGGATGCCTGCCTCCAGTCATGTGACCATCTTCTGTGTGCCTTCACGCTATCTTTCTTCTCTCTGTGGCTATGTTTACAAGGTATTCTCTTGTCTAAGAAGAGCACCAGCTATATTGGATTAGTGGTCCATCCTACTTGAATATGACCTCATCTTAAGGACTCTGCAATGTGTCTATTTACAAGTAAGATCACATTCTGAGGTGCAAGGGGACCTAGTAGAGGACCTAGTAGAGGACACAATTCAGCCCCCCACAGTGAGTTTCTCATTTTTTTTTGCACAATGAAAATATTGGTGTGTACATTCTTCTGAAGGATGATCTTCAGATAGAGTCTCAGAAGAAGAATTGTTGGGTCAAATGGTAGATATCTTAATAATTGTGTGATGCTTTACTAAATTGCTTTCCCAAAAGAATTCATTTATTTACCATCATTCCAATACTGCACATGAGAGCTTAATTCCTCACATTTCTATGAATATTTAACATTTTTTTAAATTACCATTTTGCTGGATAAAACATTATTTAACAAAGAGGCAGATAGAATAGTTTTCTTTTTGGCCATAAAATAGGTTTGTTTGTTTCCCAAGCATTCAAAATAAATTCTTGCCATTTCTCTCTGTACTCCTCTCCCCAAAGGGACAGAAAAACCATCCCTTGTGATCTCTCAATGGGAGACAACCTCAACCCTTGCTATTTGTCCTTTCATCTTTCTGCTGGGCTCTGTTCCAATACCAAGCTCTATTGCTTTTCTCAACTAAATACGCACACACGTGTGTGCACATACACACACATACAAACAAACATGAAAAAACTTCCTAGACACATCAGCGGATACGAATAGGTTTGAGGGTGGAGGCTGAACAATGCTATTTACTGAATAGTTCTGGCGTCTTAGGATTGCAAGAAGGCCCATTATCTATTCTCTGCTTTTCTGGTGAAGCTTTCAAAGACTCTCATGAAAGTGTCTTTTACAGTCCAAGAATACATCCTCTGAGTTTGGGACTGCTGGGGGGCTGGTGTTGGGGTGCATGGGTGCTGTGGCATTTTGTCCAGGGACAGCAACTCTCCTGTGTGATTTCCCATCTCTGGTTGGTTTTCATGCCACCTGCACCTGCGCTCCATATC